GGTATTAATGATATCAATTAGATGGTGACTTACTCATAATGCTTTGGCATTTTATTTTGAGAAAATTCTCAATTGGCAATCACAGATGCTTTAGAGAGGAAGTCTTCCCATTCGAGCGCTGAATCCATTTGAGGGAAGTGTTTCTCTCCCTCTTCTCACTCCCTATGTCAATTTCGTGTCATTTTACTCCTCGGAGTTTTCATGGCTCTGTCCACCTCGTGGCATAACATGCTCTTTCATCGGGAGTCCGGTTGCATACGGACTACCGTTCTTTATTATTTTGAGTTTTATATTGTTGTTATCCGGCCATGCCCTAGGGGCTTATCTTGGATAAAAAAATAGAAAAAAAAAGTGTCATGTACTATTATTTTGCACAAACTGTTTACTCGTCGTTAATGAGGGAGAGTAATGACCCAATTACCCCTTCCTAATATTGAATTTAATTTTTTAGCAAGTACAATCGAATTAAAAAAAAAAACGGGTAAATGCCACATTTTGTCACTGAGATACTAAATCGTGTCATGTTTAGTCACTAGAAAATTTTTTAATATAATTTTTGGTCACTCGAATTACTGAAACATGTCACATTTAGTCACTCTCTCGTTAGTTTCCGTCCAACTCCATTAATGAAATTGGACGGAAACTAACGGGAGAGTGACTAAATGTGACATGTTTCAGTAATTCGAGTGACTAATGTGACATGTTTCAGTAATTCGAGTGATCGGAGTTGGACGGAGGCTAACGAGAGACGGAGAGAGTGACCAAATGTGACATATTTCAGTAATTCGAGTGACCAAAAATGATACTAAATTTTTCTAGTGACTAAACATGACACGATTTTGTAATCTCAATAACTCAATGACTAAATGTAGCATTTACCCAAAAAAAAAAAACTAATCCTTACACTTTCTTCCTTCTATGGTGAGCACACCACCGTCCAGTCCGCCAGCGCCGGCCATCTTCATCTCCAGCGCCCACCTTCTACCGATTGTTGAGAAGAAGATGTACGTCAAGCCGAAATCATATCAACGGAGAAGCGGTTGGGACGAGCAAGAAGCTAGACTGACTCAGTCTCTGTTCAGATGGTGGGAGAAAGGATTCCTTGAGGGAAGCTCTCAGTGCAGGCTGCGGCTTCGACTTCGTCGACGAGAAAATGAATTAGGATGGGGTGGGGTTTTCTCGACAGTATTAGACTCAAAGGGGGAGAGATTTTTTATTATTATTAAAAATATCTGGGCAGATTTCATTATAAAATCGGAGGGTCGGGATAGTGGCAGATAATCATTAGTCATCAAATAGATTTGTGGTAATAGGGTAATTCCTATTCCAGTTAACGGTGAGTAAACAATTTTTTTAACGGAAGGGTATTTTTGTTACGTTATGATATTAGTAAGTCATGTTTGTGCAAAATAATAATATTGGGGTACATTTGTTAATTTGTAATAGTAAAAGAGTACAAAACACTATTAACCCTAAGGAATTTAAGAACTCTTATTTTCAGTTACTTTCTTTCGACGTATGGTGATTATCCTTTTTTTCTTTTATACATTTTGTTTGTGTCATGTAACTTCCTAAGGATATTCTCGTCCTAAGATCAGATGCACCAACTTGCCAAGTGCCTACACACGCGGATACATCAGAGGGCTACTCTAGGGCTTGCTATTTGGTCCGAGTTTTTGGGTTTACCCGAAACAGGAACGTATAACCCGGACCGGACCGGAAACGAATAGCAAACAATTCAATCTCATCTTCAGGCTTAGATTTGAGGTAAAAAACCATTTGGGACCGGATCGAAAACCGGATAAGAGAGCCCAACACCCAAAACTTAACCAACTACTCACCTTTTGAGGTCTCAGGCCACTCAAATTTCAAGAGGAGGAAGAAACTAGAAGAGTGAAAGATAATAATCATAACTGGTACCATTCATAAAATTAGAGGGGGAAGAAGTTTATTGGAAATCTTCGATCTCAAGCACAAATCACATTCAGGAAGGATTTGCTTGAGGTAGGAAATCCACGGTAGTTGATTAAAGACATCCATTTCCCCTCTGGTCACATCTCTGGCAGTCATAAGTTATTTTTCCAGATTAAGTCGTTCTTTGTCTATAAGATTGTTTCTTCACCACGGGAACCAGAAATCTCAGCGCAAAAGAGGAGGAAAAAAGGATTGGAAAAGCGAATGGAGAAGAGATCAGATACCCAAATGGAAGAAGCACGGGGAGTTGGAAGCAGAGAAATAAAGACGGTTGAGGTGGGAACTCGCAGAGCCATCAACCTGCAGTCTCGAGCGAGATAAAGAAGAGAGGGACCACCATCTATTGAGAGATTGAGAAACAAATTCTAATTGCATGCAACCAACTCTCGGGGAGAAGGCTCGAGTGAAGAAGATCAAAATGAAGGGGCAACAACTTGCATAGTGGTCGGTTGTTCCCAAGGAGATCGGAGAAGAGATTGGGGGGGGGGGGTGGAGGGGAATAAAAAGTGACCAGACTGGAGAAAAAAGGGGTGTATAGGTTTAGGATGAATCAACAGTCAAGATTGAGAAATTATGAGGTTGTCAGTACATTGACGCATCCTATCCCTGTTCGGCCGGAAATATACGAGAATAGAGGACAAAAAGGATCGTCGGCGGAAGAAGGGGTGAATCGCCGGTTCAGGGGAGTGATCGACACTGGAGCGGCCATTTGCCTAGCCGCCAGCCGATTTGTGAGTAGTCGCTCACCCTATATGGATTGGAAGGGAAGAGGGGGAAACTTGGGTAATCGCCTACCAAACGACACAGGGAGATTAAAGAAGAAAGATGGGAGAAGGGAGGACTGCAGTAAGAAAGAAGCGAAAGCAAAAGGGGTGCACAATACCTAATGTGGACTTGACTTTATCCCACTGGACCCCCTAACTATACTCGCCAATTAATTATAGTACTATATAATCAAGAGTTCAAACAAGCAAAGTAATCATTCAATCATCTAATATAACATACATAGCTAGTGTTCAACCACACCCAAGTAAGATTAGGTTTAGCTCATAGTGAAAGAAAGAGAGTCAAACACAAATTCAAGAGTGGAAATCATCCTTGGGGAATGGGTTATTCCTCTTGATCTTCAATCCCCAACCCTTGATATGATGAGATTAGCCTCAAATCGAATGTTGAAGCTCCAAATCACCACCTAGGGATCTCATTCGTCGCTTTCTTGGTCTACTAGCAGCTGCCCAGTTTCTCACTCTAAAACTGCTCCTATCAAATCTGGTTTTAGCTTCTATTTATAGTAAGAAGTGTTCAAGTCACGGTTAAATGTCATGCCATGACATTTACAACCAAACCGCGATGTCGACCCAAAGTGTGTAGTCTTACTTACACATCTCATCGGTTTGTTGCAATATCACATTTTGCAACCGTGACATCTTCAAGTGCTCGCGAAACATAAGTTATCTCCTAGTCTCTTGTAATTCTCTTGACTTCCTTGTGGATGTCACAGTCTGGCCGTGACAATCTACGCTGAATCGTCACATTCGATAACTTCTTAACTTTGTCCCCCTTTTGACTCCAATTGGTCCACAAATAATTGAAGTTGTTTTATATTGGGGGATGCAATTTTGAGCAATTTGGGTCCAAATCACTAATTTAAAAAGTTATTTTGTGGGATTTTGGCTAAATGTCTTATTTGTTTATGGATTTGGATTTTTATTATTAAAAGTACGATTTTTCCCTCATCTTCTTCCTTCTATCTTCTTCGTCCCATCTTGCCACAACACCCAACATAGATGTTTTCTCCTAGAAATTTGTCCATTGGAGCACGACCAAAGCCGACAGAAGACCTTGTCACCGTACCAACACAATGTTGAAGTTTGGATTCTTCACTAACCACTGACCCATTATCACTCTAAATGGTTCTAATTGGATGATGATGACTCCTTCTCCAACTCTAGCATGAGATCATATATGGACATACTTTGATCTAGGCGACCAAATTTAGAGAAGTATTTCGCGACACAAGATCTATTCCCTCGATGTTAGCATTTCCTTACAATTGCAAATCCTCATGCACTTTGAGGCATCATCCTTGTTCTCGCCCATTTTTTGTCCTTGTGTGGATTGTAGAGAGGGTGTTGTAAAGGGAATTGAGGAGCATAAGGAGGACTTTAGGATGAGGTGTTGGTGATGGAGATTCTAGGATCAAAATTTGATGGCATGGTTGTGGCGGTTGTTGAGGGGAATGGGGATTCTATGGTTCAGAAGAGGCATATTGGGGATAGACGAGGGATGAGGGATATGTTTGGAAGAAACAAAATAAAATGATGGATTTGAAAATAGCTTAGGTCGGCTATTTCCAAATTTGGCATATGCAGGTTTTTAAAATCCTTTGACGATGAAATCTCTCATTTTTACTTGCCTTATCAAACGAGTGATTTGGAAAGATCCGATAGAATGAGAGATTGTGTCGAAATCCTCAACCTAAAGACTCCTTCGAGAACCTACCATTGAGATTTCTGAACCTTAACACCACCCTGGAATTTCACAAGCGTGGAATCCCAAAGTTCCTTAGTTGTAGGTTTGTTGATTATAGTCTTTAGAATGGTCGTGTCTATAGAACTAAATAGATAGTTCTTTGCTTTGAGGTATTTCAACCTCAATTCCTCTGTACTCTTGAGCTGATCAGTAGAGAATTCTTGAACTAGTGCAAGTTCCTTAAAAACCTTCACTGACCACTCTTAAGCATTCCATCGATTTGAGCAAGTCCTTCATCCTCAGCGTCCAATGCTCATAATCTCAATCAAACTTTGGGGATACACACATGTGTAGGCTGTAGCTATTATTCTTACCAATGATGTCTCTGCAGACACAATGCATTCTCATATATGCTCTAGAACTTCGCCGCAAAGTACCAATCAGACAACGTCCTTTTGAGGATCTTTTATCTCTACGATAATACAGACAATGGCACGAGGATAAGGAATCCCAGACAACTGCCAAACTCTACAAGAGCATTTTCCTAGCTGCCACTTAAACTGTAAACCTTTCTTCCTTATGTCTAACCTTGTATTCTCCCTTTCCATTTGACCTTATATGGCAGAATCCACTCTCTTCAACATTAGCATCCAACTTCCGCAAAATCTTAGGACAATACAGTGCTGTCTGTCCACTTCCTTGCCATTGCCCTCCTATTAGCTATCCTGCATTTATGGGTTTTCAAAGTCCAGTGAATTCAAAGCCCCTCATTCCCTTCATTTTGGAATCATTCCCAAACGAGCAATTTTGCCAAAATCTGATAAAGCTAGTGATTGTGCCGCTGTAGATGAAATTCCATCCAAATTCCAAACGGCTGCTTTCATATTTTTCAGTTTTTGTTTCATTCACCCCCGCCCACCCCGATCTCTACGTATTCCTTTTGGGTCAATCGCAAGATGTCCTAATTACATGTACAACGTCAAATAAGACTAATGCCCAACCTCGGAGCCCGTCTCAAGATCATCAGCTAAGTTAACAGTTCCGCTGCGTGTGAGCTCAGGCATAAACTTTTCTATGTTTCTCACGGGAGCATCAGAGCATTGTGTACTATGATACTTAGATTGTTTCTGAACCTAGGCTGCGTTTTCTAGTCAAAGCAGTGGACTTCCTCGGATACAACTTTAACAGCTTGATCAGCTCCAAAGTCCTCGTGTCCCGTCCTAGATGAAGGCAGAGCTCCAGCGGGGTTAAACCATCCTGATCAGCTCACAGTTAAACCAACAGAAATGCTCAATTAGCACGCACTTGAGAGATAAAAGGATGAAATTCATTTGTCAGAAAGATCATACCAAGTAAGACTGTAACCCAAAACGGAAATCTGTACCTTGTCTGTTAAGGTTTTATCCGCGCCTTTGATGAGTAAGAGTTTCACAATGTCAGTCCTTTGAGCTTGAACAGCAAGATGCAACGGGGACCAACCATCCTAGTAACAATAAACAATAACGTGGGTTGTCAATTATAGCAGGGAGATGCTGAACCTCCCGGAGATAAACATAAGAGAACACATAAAAATAAAAGCTTTACATTGTCCTGGAGGTTTATATCAACATTATATAGGAGAAGCAGCTTGATAGCCGGAATGGATGCTGTCTGGACAGCATAATGCATCAAGGTGCCTCCGTCCTACCACCAGCAAGGAAAGGGAGATGATTGTGTTATAGCTAATAAATCTAACCAGTTTAGTGAAGCGAATGGCATTGTACACAGAAACGCGAGCTTAATTGCTTACCGCATCTCGAATGAAGGGATTTGCTGACTCTCTCAAGAGGTAGCTGGTAATGGCCTGCTTTTTGCCTATTATCGCCTTGTGGAGCGCACTCACCCCCTCCTGGAAAATTCAAATACAAGGACAAACAGAAGTTAGGGTACCCTTTCTGATAAGGAAGGGAACCAGATGGGAGAAGAATTCAGAGGGATAAGGCAGCATACATACAGCATCCACGGAATTGATGTCAAGGTTATGTTTGAGCAAAGTGTTCATGAGGTAGAATTCTCCAGATGCAGCAAGCGTGTGAAGAGGTTGCCATTTCACCTGCAAAAAGCAGCTCACCGCGCAATTAACAACCACCCATTGCCTGATTCTGAGAACACAACCCACAATGCCGCTTTGGAGACGACTACCCACTTCATTTGTTGTATAGGAAATAGATCACAGAAAGCAAATCAGTGATGAAAAGACCAACAACTCACACAGGTAACAGCTGCTAAATCCGGGATGCGTCTGTTCAGGAAAACCTTTTCCTCCTTTGTAAACAACTTCCGGCGGCCTAGTTGTTCAAAAAATGGCATATCAGGGTGAGTTGGAGCCACCAATTTTGCAAAAAGGAAGCAAACAAATACCTCCTGGGTTCTTCTCTCCGGGCTGGTACTTCCCACTCCTGAAAAAATCGTTAACATCGTCGAAGCCCTTCCCGTAAACCGCCCACCTAGGGTTCCGGGGCGCAACTCGCTCACTTGGATTCTTCGTTTCATGCTCATACTCGTACTCATCCTCATCATCAAACTCTGCCTCTGCCTCATCCGAATCCTCGTCATCTTCAGGAGATGCCGCGGGGTTATTGTCAAGATACAGTGGCTTCAACTGAGCCAACTTAGCCTCGCGAAAAGCCTTGTACTCGTCCAAATTCACGCTCCTCACAGGGGCCAATCCTCGGGTCTTCCTCTCCAGCCGGCTATTGAACTGCATCTCCTGCGCAATTCTGCGCCTCTCCTTCTTGGTAATGTTAATTTCCGCCTGTGTTTCTCGCCATTCGTCCGGGACCAAGTTCTCCGTCGGGATCTCCTGAGTGAGCTTCTTCTTCCTGCGCGGAATCTTGGTCGGGGTGGGAGAATCAGGGCCATCGAGAGACGGGTCTTCGAAAATGCCTTCTTCGAAGACGAGACAGTCGCCGATGGCAGGGTCGTCCTCGGTATAGAAAGAGGGGGATTGAAGAGACTGGGAGACAAAGCAAAAGCTTCTGGGAAATTTGAGGGTCCGAATTGAAGAAGACAGCTTGAGAGGAGCGAGGAAGGCAAGAGGAGAGGGCAAGTAGGGAGGCGCTACTGGAACTGCCATTGTTTTTTTTCTTCTTTTTCTTCCTATTGCTTGCTCCGTGCTCCCGTTGCCCTTGCGTAGCGTGAGCTTACCTCTTAGCCACTCACAGACCACAGTACGAACTACGAAGGCCGGTTTCGACGGACCGAATTAACTGACAACTCCGGCAAAAGCCCTAATGGGTTACAAAGGCTAAATAGACTTGGATAGTTGTAACTTCATACTTTATGAGAGTAATAGAAACATTTTTTTTTATATGACTTGAATCGGACTATCAGCCGCTACGACTGGTAATCGGGGGTCTTCAGCAAAGTTCTTAAATACTCCTAGTGCTTCAAATGTTCATCTATCCTCAGCTTATGCACCGCAGTCAGAGGCTGAGAAGGAGTACATGTCGAGAGTCTCATATGCTAGCGCAGTAGGTAGCTTGATGTACGCTATGGTATGCACTAGACCTGATCTTGCACATGCTGTTAGTGTTGTCAGCAGGTTCATGATACAACCTGGAAAGGAGCATTGACGGGCTGTGAAGAGGATCTTTCGGTACCTTAAGGGTACACCTGATGTGGGTATTAGCTTCGGAAGTGATGCAGAGTGCTTGGTGTCTGGGTATTCTGACTCGGATTATGCTGGAGATGTTGACACGAGGAGATCGATGACCGGTTATGTATTCACTCTTGGGAGTTCTGTAGTGAGCTGGAAGGCAACTTTGCAGTCGGCGGTGACATTGTCTACTACTGAGGCAGAGTATATGGCGTTGACAGAAGCTGCCAAGGAGGGAATATGGTTGAAGGGACTGGTTGGTGATCTGGGTCTACATCATGATCAGGCAGTGGTGTATTGTGACAGTTTGAGTGCAATATGCTTGGCCAAGGATCAAGTCCACCATGAGAGGACTAAGCACATCGACGTGAGGTATCATTTCTTGAGGACAGAGAAGAGGATTAATGTGAAGAAGGTTGGCACCGCGGATAATCCTGCTGATATGTTCACGAAGCCGGTTCCACATGGCAAGTTCCAACACTGTTTGGACTTGCTGAATGTCTTGAGTGGGTGACTCCGCCCTGCGGGGCATTGATGGCGGGAGAGAGAGAGAGAAGGAGCAGAATACATCATAGATTTCAGAGGAAGAGGATTCAAGTCAAGGTGGAGATTTGTTGATATGACTTGAATCGGACTATCAGCCGCTACGACTGGTAATCGGGGGTCTCGCTGCCCGGTCAGCGAGTGGGGTCCAGGGGCAACGCCCCCGGCCCACGGTGTATGGGCTCAATGTTATTTGGGTTCGGGTTCTGGGCCTGGTCTGTAACCGTTTCCTTTGCCAGATTGGATTAGGTTTAGACCCACATGGAGAAGTACTATAAATACTTCTCATACTCCTCTGTAATCTGTAATCTCCTCGATATAGTGAAACTGGCTCTCTCTCGCCCGTGGACGTAGCTAACACACATCGTGTTAGTGAACCACGTAAATCGTGTGTCTGTGTTTTTTCGATTCTCGCTTTCGTATTCTTGCTTTGTCGATTCCGGCGATTTCCCGATCCGTAGCAGCGCGTTTATAACAGTTTTGAAAAATGCACTAAATTAGTCATTCCGTCCTTAGGTAACCTAATTTGTTCCTCTTGGGTGGCCGCTCTCGCTTTGGAGCGTGGAAACGCTGATTGCAATGGGATCGCTCAAAATTCGCGAATCCATTTATGGTAGAGCGCGAATCCACTATCAACGGAGCATGAATTACCTTTAGCTCGATGTTAATTATGCCCAGTGCCAACTCTTGCGAGTCTTCGCCACGTTGTTTATGTTATATCGTTATCGGTTGTGGTGGGGATTCGGCGGAGCTGGTGGTGGCGAAGTTGGGCGGCGGAGTCGGAGAGAGCCGAAATCCGTCCATAACTTTACCTGTATAATGATACATGCTGATTGGACTAACGTCTTTTAATGATGTGGCAGCTTTTCGTCTTGACTTTTCCAAACAGGAAATGTGTCATTTTTATTGTAATTAAAAAAAATTAAAAATAATGAAAAGAGATGAACTTCATATCATCGCTACTTTACCTTACCTACCATCCTCTCTCTTCCCCACTGTCGCTTCATCCTTCATCTTCGTCCTGTTGAGATCGAAAGGAGCATATAGCTTGGGAGAGGAGGACGCTTCAAGAAACACTCATCTCAAATTAAACTCAAATTGGAGAAGGAAAGCGATGAAGACTGGAACTTCATCTTGGAGAAGAAGCATCTTCTATAGCATCTTCCACATCAGCCACGATGGGAGAGGAGCAAAGAATCATGCTCCCGCCCACTCTATATGAGTATTGAAGACCAAGAGCTTCCAATATTAATTTGAGCATTGTTGTGCTACCAACAACTATGGACATCCACACATCATTGATGTAGATGGTGCAACAAGATAGGAGATTCGCAAGAAGGAGTTATGACGATCCAATGCAGCATCTAAAGATCCTCTTGGAGATCATATATTTCATTATAGGAGATGAAGCAACCAAAGGTGCCATTCGAATGAGAGTGGCTAGACCATCATCCGTCCAACACCTTTACCAATTGGGAGATCTTGTTGCAAGCATTAATCAAGGAGTTCCCCCACCTTGGTGGGTGAAGGAGCATAAAGAAGATATCATGCAATTCCTGAAAAAGGAGAGACGTTTGATGACGTTTGGAGGAGATTCTAGGAGCATCTGAAAGCACAACCCCATCATGGATTCACCCAAGAGCAAGTGGCAAAGTACTTCACTGAAGGCCTAGATTGAGATACCACAATGATGATGAACCTGTCAGTCGATGGTGATTTCATACAGATGATAGGAGTTTAATGCCATGAGCACTTTTCCCACACTTGCAAGGAAGTCAAAAAATTGGTCCAAGAGACTGACGATGAAGGCATTGAAGGTGACCCAACAAATCAAGGAGGTGAATATAATCCTACATTGACAGATGAAAGAGCTTTCACAACAATTGAAAGATGTTGTGATGGAGCCAAATGACTATCCAAGGATGACTCGCTTCTACCGTCACACTACAAAGTGGCCAAGTGTAACCACCTACTAATGCGTAGTATAGCGGGTTTAGTTCTAATTGTCAACCCGGGTCCTAGGTGTGATGACTACTCCATGAAAGTCTTGTTATCTAGCGGTTCAAGTGTAGTGGAGGTTCAATTAAACTAGCAAGCCAAGCAGTGAAAGTTGTGTTCAAGTTGAGAGAAGTCACCCGGATATGGTTCCCCCTAGACTGCAGTTAAGCCAGGTTGTAATTTACCAAGTTCAAGTTTAATGATAGTTATACTGCGGGATGTTCTTAAACATTTTGCAGTCTAGACTAAAGGTCTCCAGACTCTCTCAATCTGAGTCCCCAGCGGGCAACTAGCCTCCACCGGAGTAAACAGATTGATGCCCTAACGAACCAAACCTCCTCTACCGAAGTAAATCCGGTACATAATAGTGAATTGACTCCTCAACTAAAGTCTTCAATTCACTACCTTCAATCAAGGGTGCTCTATCAACCTAGGAAGATATTCTCTTTCTAGGTCAAAGCAGAAATAACAGGAATTTGATCAGGATTCATGCCATTCAAGAAATCAAACCTCAATTGAACATAATCATATCACTGAATTCGTACTTGGGTTCATTCAATCAGACCTAACATACAAATCTAGGGGTCTTCATACCCAGGTGAATGAGAAAGTTACTCCATAAAGAGAGAAGCAAAATCTAGCTCAGAAGCAGAAAACATGCTGTGAAGGATGGGGTTCTGCTTCTGGTCGTCAATCGGCACTTCTCCAAGCATTATCCGGGCTCCACTGATGATGAAGATCAATCTAAGGCGCTTGGGAACTCTGGTTAGTCACTTTCTCTCTCTAGGTATCACTTTCTTTCTCTAAAACTCGGAACCCCTTCAAAATTTCCCTTCTTTCCCTTAAGAATCAGCAGGCTGCGATCCCCGGTCGTAATCCCCGGTCGGGTATTTCAGGTGCCCGGCCGGGAATCTTGAAACGCAGCGCAGCGGTGAAGGGCATAATACCCGATCGGGTATTTTTGCTCTCTGGCCGGGACCCCTTCTGGACTTCAGACGTCCCAAACTGCTTTTCCCCGGCCTCGCCTTGCATATTACCCCGCCGGGTATTTTAACTACTGGCCGGGTATTTTCCTCTTCCAGCGCCCTTCACTCCCATAACCTCCTTTTTTACCCGAAACTCGTTCCCTCGCCTTCACGTCAACGCCAAGTCCTGAAATATGACATAAACACACAACCTAGCGTGAAATCGGGTTAAAACACGAGAATCAACTCTCAAACGGCTCAAGAATGGAGGTAAAAACATGTGCAATCAATGGTCCATCAAAGGACCACCTTAACAAATGTCCCTTATGTTTATGATCAACAATGGAGCAAGAAGCCCAATCCACTCGAATAGGGGAGCCAGCCACATATAAGGAGCAAGGAGGAGGTTCTTCCACCCAACAACCTAATTGTTTCGAGAAGATAGAAGCACCAACTCATGGTTTGCAAGCCAACTTTCAACATATTAAAAATCAACTTGCAATCCTTATTGATGCGAGACACTAGAAGCCTCAAGGGAATCTTCTCAGCAATGCAGAGAATAATCCAATGAGCAAGATATAGTATGGGCAGGCGAAGTAGTTCAAGCTCCACCAGCCCCCGAATGGAAGTTCGTGCAAATGGCTCTTAAAATAGCCAGTACACTGTCAAAGATGGTGCTAGAGAGAATCGTAGACCCGAACTATGAAACATTGAAGGAATATTAAGATTTCATACTCTTTCATCGCCAAAACTGATTCAATCCACATCTAGTTGAACCAACAAGGGAAACTACAAGTGAATGGGGCGATGGATGGACATCAAAAATTGATTGACCATCTGAAAAGGAGTATAACTATTCCTAGCTTGAAGGCAAAAAAGAAAGAGCGATTCATGACAGGCATTCCATGTCTGGCGTCAAACTTAATGACATTAAACAAAAGTGCTACCGAGAAGACAACCTGAATCTTTTTTTTTTTTAATTTTGAGTTTATTGATAGATGATGCCAAGGTTTTGAACCTAATTTAGCCCGTTGACCGGTTGAGCAAGTGGACTAAAGGTTTATGGTCATATCGTTTTAGTTCGATTTAGCCCTATTGTTGAACAACATATATTGTAGTGATATGAT